GATTTCATATTCACTACACAATTAAAAAGGTCCCTATAGATTGAAGGTCGCTTGGCCAAAAGTCAAGGTCAAAAGGTTAACATTGATATATAAGTATATCTGGCTTTCAAGTAATCATGGTAATGTTCTGTGATTAATAAAATAATTTGCTAGGGTTCTCATCCAATTTTTAGTATAAGTTTTATTCATTCCAAAAAAAAGTTAGTTTTCTGTTCTAGTAAAAATTCACGCGTAAAAACTTTGATCACAGAATACTACCACAAATTGGCTACTATTATCAGCCTAAAAAATTATCAGCATTATTTAAACTCTAAAGAAGTTGTATTGTTAAAAATGAATATTTATTGGTACTTTGGCATGCTTTGAAAATGTATTATAAAAGGTCAATCAAATCTCAAATTCAATGAGACAGAGGAAAAACGTTTGAGATACCTGAAGATTTGAGATATTAAGGGTAAAACACTTAATTAAAAAGAAGCTGAGACTTTCAAATCACTTTGACATATTCATGGCTTTCGAGATATCAGTATTTGAGACACCGACATTCAACTGTATAACAATGTGAACCAATAATTAAGATGTTTAGTTTTCCCTTGTAGGCTGTGTATCTTATTGCAACAAATGATAAACCTTAAATCAAAGAGAAACACAAACTCTTGCCCGTCTTCCACGATCTCCTGGATAAATGCCTGGAGGTGGACGTAGAAAAAAGAGCATCAGCTTCTGAGCTCTGAAAGGTATTTTTTATTCTGTGTAAGAAAGGCAGATATATTCGTTGAATATGCTTGATTTTTTTTTATCCAAAACAAAGATTCATTTTCTAGCAGATTTTACATTGTTGTTGATCAGCTAAAATGTGCTTATTTTTCAAATTCTAATTTATTATTAATTTCAGTTTAGTATAAAGTTTTGCGTTACGTCACGATCGTTTTCGTCATATGCATCCAGCGTAAACAATTCACGTGATTGGTCAACTCATATTATCAACATTGACACAAAAATAGTATGTCGCACGAGCAACCAATCAGGGATAAGAAGAAAGTTCCATTCGTAAAGTGTGCAGTTAGGAGGCGTGTTAACTTTACCTTGAGCGCAGCTGTCAACTAGATCGTGACGTAACGTAAAACTTCACACTTAACTGCAAAGTATGATAAAAACTTCTCTATACACCTCTTTCATTACATTCTACACAATATATGATCAAATCTTTTGTTTTAAATTTTTTTTGTGCTGAAATCCTTAATAAAGACACATATTTATACCACCCGCTTGAAAAGTGGGAGGGTATATAGTAATCGGTATTTTGTCCGTCCGTCTGTCTAGCTGTACGTCCGTCCGTCTGTTACGCTTTTGGGGTACCCATCTCTTACCCGCAACTCCTCTTATACCACTGAGTGAAATTTAATGAAACTTTCACAGAATCTTTATTACATATTGCCATTGTGCACGTCCTATTTTAATTTTTGATCCGACACATATTTAGGGTTTCCTGGCCACAACAAAACATGGACTTTTCCATTATAATCATATGGGAGACGGGGGGTATCATTTAGTGAGCTCATTGCTCACAGTACCTCTAGTTTGATAATTAAAAATCTCCTATAAATCTTAGATTTCCTTGGCTCATTGCAGCATACCTTTGCTAAGCAAAGCAACTGGCCAATCTACAGCCACTTATACTAGCTGCCAAAGAAGCTCCAAAAGGACAGTGAACAAGTTCATTTTATGCAATACTCTCTTTGTGTCTAAAAGGTATATCTGTATTAATTTACTGTGTTCAAAATCTTGTACTTGATAAGTTGTATCTTGAAAGAAACCCAAAATAAAGTCCGAGGTTTTTAAAAAAAAAGAATCACGCACTTAAAAATTCATATTTATCTGGAATGAATACAAAACTGTTATATGCATGGAGGTTGGACTTATGATTATTGCATATTAATCACAGGCTGGTGGAGTGTTTTATAGTAAAGTAAAGTAGCTTCCCGTTGTAAATTTATAAGAAATGTTTTATTGTTCATGTTATTTAATTATCTTATGGTTTACTTCAATTATTGATGCAATACACATTGCACTCCGACATTGTTATGTAAACAAATGCTGTTTTTGTGTTACTAGTCGATATAGTGAGATATTGTTGAACAGACAGTAAGGGACAAACATACTAACATGTTGTACGTCAGTTTTTCATCATTATATACCATATTACGACTGTAATTTACTTACCTATTCCAGCATTATCCTGTGTTGTAAATTGGGCGCCTGCCATCTTTCTTACGAAGAAGATAGTAATGTGACATAAACATTGTCGTTTTACAATTGATGAGCTCGAAATAACACTGACCGTGTCATCCAATGCTTAAGATTGATACTTAAATGTTATTTTATTGCAGTATTGTCATTTAATTACGTTTTATTTGACGAAATGTTTTGGAACTTGAATGTGTAGCGTAATACTTATGTGTGTACATTATTGTTCGGTATTACTACGCCGTGGATTGTGTGTGTCTGTTTTATTACAGATTGTTTGTTGAACTTATTTTATTATGTATATCGAATAGAATTTATAACTCCTACCTTACATATAGAAAGGACATTTTCAGCGACACTATTTTCTTTGTTTTACACAAAATGTATGTAAAGTAGTTCTGAGAGGCCCCAGAAAGGACAATTATTCATTGGTTTGTTTTGATCACGTGACCATTGCAGAAGGTTATATATATGAGCAGCAAACGTCAGTTTATCAGAACGATCATCAGACCATTATAGTCATCCACATGATAAGCTGTAAATTACTAGCGACTTAGGTATGAGAAAATATAGTAAACTTTAATACAAATTAAGTAGCGTATAATTTCTCCACCGCAAGGACACTGCAATGCACTTTACTTTATGCCAGAGATGTTAAATTTATTATAACTTATTTTACCGACGAAATGGGCGTTATCTACACTACATCTAGGACTTATAAAAATGTACTCATAGATGTACTGACTGTTTTGTTATATTTCATAGAAGTCTTTATTAAATGAAATACTGTAAAATCACATATTTTCGTTGGGTCAGACTTCCGTGGTTTGAGGAAAAAAGTTGGTTCGTAGGGATTTGATTTCGTGGAGGAAGATCTTTTTAGTAGTTGCGCATATGAAAATTAACATTTCGTGGTGATCATAAATTCGTGGGTCTCTTCATACCACGAAAACAACGAAAATTTCACCCCCATGAAAATTAGTGATTTCACAGTATTTGAACGAGATATGGAACTTGGTTATGATTTACAAGGATGTGAATTATCAAGGGTGTTTAAATACATGCAACGGACTGAGGATGCTCTCCCCCCTTTTATATGTGGACGGATTTAATGAGTAGTCCTGATAAAATTTAATGAACTGAATTTACATGGTATGAAAACACTGTAATCTGACTGGCATTTGACAGGGTGCTGAGGAAGCTTACAATACCTTCAAATCACTCAATTTAGTATGGTCCAAATTTCATGCTTTGAAAAATATATATTGATTCACAAGAATTCTAAATTGCTGTTAACAAAATATTTAGTTGTTACTTGTTTGAAATTTTCCATTTCATTGGGATTTAAATTTGAAGGAGTCTAGATTACACAAAAAACAACGAAAATAAAAAAAAACCCATTAAAATAAGTGATTTCGAAGTATTCTGAATAGTTTATAAACAACTTTCAACCATTTCATAACTTTTTAGCTCACCTGAATCGAGGGCACAAGTGAGCTTTTCTAATAAAAATTTGTCCAATCTCTGTCATTGTTGTCATCGCCATAACGTATCACATTTTAATCTTCTCAAGAACTAGTGGGCCGATTACTCGGTACAAAGTATCCTTGAATGAAGGGGATTCAAATATCTTCGAATAAAGGGCCACTCCCTTTTCCAAATTGGAGATTAAAAAAAAATAGTAAAAAAATTAATGACATCATTTAAAATCTTCTCAAGAACCACTGAGCCAGGAAAGATGAAACTCATGTGGAATCATTCTAAGGTAGTGCAGATTCATTTTTTTTTTCAACGATGACCCCTAGGGGTAGGGTGGGGAACCCTACGAAGATAAAAGTTTTACATAGGTATATATATATAGCAAAATCTTTGAATGGTAAAAAAATAATTGTATGGATGTACATTTACCCAGCTAATCGAAAATTCCAGTCAAAATTGTAGGATATCATACAATGTTGTAAATTATCGTCCTGTGGATAACAATTACGTTGTGCTTGACAGCTCTTGGTCTGTCTTGGTTGTGAAAATTATTAAAGGTCATTCTATGCATTGAATTTATTTTAATTGTCAAGTATGGCATAGTTCACCACAAACAGAAAGTAATGAAGTAAAAAGGAATGTAGATTTAGAAAATACAAAATCTGGAATGTCAAAATTAAATATTTTATCAGTTAAACAATCATTTTATAAATATGAAGATTTTATTAAATATATGAACAAATATTGTAATACTAGTTAAACCATGTATTATAAAATGCTGAAATGAATAACAGATCTTGATCTTATTTAATAGTTCAAACTTTGTATAATTATGTATTATAGAATACAATGTTTGAAAGAAACATAATTTGTGATTTTTTTTCTTGACAACATATTATGGAGGTGGTATGCTTTGTTTGACTATTTATTTTGTTGATCATGAGAGTAAAAAACAATGTTTATATATAAACTTAACTAACAAACATATTTATTACAAAGCTTCCTTTTATATAAACACAATGCATTATGAAGAATTAAATGGTCTGCAAAAGTTTGAAAATTGATTTTCACATCTATTTCTTCTTTTTATTTATTTTATTAAATTTTTGAAGATAAAAAAATTAAGTTAAAAAAAAGAACTTTCAGTTCACAACAGAAATCCTGACACCTGCTTCTCACTATTGTCAAAAAAAGTTTTGAATCACTTAATGTAACAAATTAAATTCTGATTCTAAAGTTTATTTACATGTACTTAATGTACTATTAATAAAATGTTAGACTCTATGGATTAGGTCCATGACTTGTTGTATCCTCATTAATGTTGCGTCTTGTATTTTGTTGAATATTTTTTGTTTCAGGGATTGTTGGTATGAATGTAGAGCAGCTTGGTAGTTCCCTGTAACCTGTTGACAAATCCCTAGGATCTCCAATGATATGTCTTTTTGTTCTTCGGATATGTATGTACCCGGATCATGGTGTACAAGATTTTGTAGGACATCTAGAGCTCTTTGTGTTCTCTCTGAGTCTACATGCCTGTAACACAAGACCTCTAACATGTGTAAGAGAACATAGAGGGGGATATCTATTGAAAGGATTCTACATTGTGATCCAGACCGTTGTTCTGGCACTAATTCATTAATGTAACAAAGTTCATTGTTCAGATAAATACTCAATACTACAATCTGTCTCATCTTTGTAGACCAGGATGTCTCACTATATCTTTCTGCACTTACACGTCCCTCGTACATTACATATAACTGTGCTATTTTTGCTTTTGTAGCTTCTATAACAGTTAAAGCTTCCAAGTATCTGAATGTCTTGTAATAATACATAGCAATGTACAACATGTCTGAAATGAACCCAAACTTAGCAGCTAATTTCAGCATGTAAAGGGATATTTTGTCAGTTAAATAGATCACTTTATTCCTACATGTACTAGTATCTACTTCGAGTGGTGTAAAATCTGTTAAAACATTAAGTAAAATGAAAGCTGTGTTCTGGAGTGTACAAGCTGTACTCTTCTGTAGAGTAAGTTCCTGATATTGTGTCAGGGGTAAAATGATCAACCTCCCTACAGCATTGAGAAACTTCATACATTGATATAGTTCATGTGAGGATATATGATTGCAACATATCTCACCAAATAGTTCTTCTTCAAACTTGGCCTTAGAAATCAAAGCGTGTTCATCTGTACAAACAGATTGTCTAGGATTTTGAAGGATGGTTATAACATGGAATCTGACGGATGGACTGTGAATCAGGCATGCTAAACCCTTCTCATATAATTCATGAAGTCCAATGAACAATTCTCTTTGTGCTTTACCGTGAATATTACTCAGAAACATGTTGTTTTCTGGAATAAAAAAATTTGGACAAATGCCGTCATACACCCATTTCAGGATAAGTTTGAAACAGACCCAGAAACACTGCAAGAGATTTTGGGGACACCAATAAGGCATTATGTTTAGTTGAATCACCCAAAAAACAGCCGTCTTCATGTGATAAGAACACAGTAATTTATCCTCTTCACTTAATCCACTGTTAATGCATTCTGTTAAGAACAATTTAAGGAGACCGTACATTAGGAATTGGCAGTGACTCATTGAGGAAACTAGAATTTTCTCTGCCGAAGAGAAGGAAATTCTCCATTCTTTGTCAGCATGATTTCCTAGTTTGTGTCCTACAGCTACAAAGTGGCATCCTTTTCTGACTATTTCATCAATGATAGGAGCTGGGGGCCATGATTGACATCTGTCTCTCCACTGGAAGGCGGGAGTGGGCCAAAAGTCACAGACAAAACATTTAGCTATGTCATGTTCTAATACCCCAATAAAACCGTTGCCACATGGACCATGTTCCCTATAGTCAGGAATAAGAGCATTGTATGTTATACTTCTGAATTCAGAACTTGATATATAGAATCTGCCATTGGTTCTTATACATGCATTCTCTAGAGATTTAAAGTGAGTCTCCGTCAATAATTCCAGTAATGCAAATCCAGGTGGACTTTCCGAACAATCGCAGAGAATCAGTGCCTTTCTATTTAAATCATAATTCTGAGCCTGGTCCAAGTCCCATATTGTATTGTGGTCAGTTGGCCAGAACATCACGTCTACATCTGACCCCGTTAGCCTGAATCCTTCCCCATAACTACCACTAAGCATCAGTCTCAGTTTATGACTATTAAACTTCACTCGATTTTTTATCATAGTGTACATGTCTGTTATTTCTCTCCTCGTGGTCACCTGTTGAGAGGTCCCTACTATGTGATTCAGTCCCACAAACACAGACTCTGATAAATGCTGAATACCCAATTCACTGTTAAAAAATAGATAAAATTCATTGATAATTGTATGCGACAAAAAAAAGGTAATGCTCTTTGGCATTATTAATTGTGAAACTCAGATAAACTTAATCACTTGGAAAATTTTTACAAAACGCATTACCATAAATTTTAGGAATGTGACATTTTTTTATTATGTAAAAGTATGACACTTTCAAGTATAGATAATTTTATATTTCCATTTCTAATTTTTTCTCTGTGATAACTGTTTGAAAGTTGGGGGAATTTATTTCTTGATAATTCTGCTGGAATGTAAATTAGGCAGGTCGATAGTTCAGCAGCTAAGGAGGCCTAATACGCATGCAAATCTCGTGCGCGTCTGTCTCTTTGTCTGACGCTAAAGAGGCCAAATATGCAGATAATTTCGTGCGGCTGCCTTTGTGTTTGACGTCAGTGTGCGAGGACTATTGAAATTGGCATGGAAGTCCTCGTGTAATTTAAATCTATAAAGTCTACATTGTTAATGTCTAACTCTACAATTTTATTTCAAAATGAAATGGAAATATAAGGAATCACTGTCTAGTTATGAGAGTATGCCAGGGACATCAACAATAGTGGGAAACATGGGATAATTTAAGCATAACGGGCTTCGCCCGTTATGCAAATTATCCCATGTTTCCCACTATTGTTGATGCCGTGGCATACTCTCAAAACTAGACAGTGATTCCTTAAGTAATGACACACTGTATATATATATACATGTACCTATTAAACAATTCTTACGCACATATAAAATATTTTAGGTATTCCTCTACTTGTACAGTAAAATTTGTCTAATCCGGACTCTGAGTACTCCGGACTTTTGTCCATTCCGTCCGTAAAATTTAGTCCCATGCACTTCTTTAACAAATTCATTTTAAAAAATTCTGTGTAGTCCGGATACTGTCTATTCTGTATTCCGAACGGCCATACTGGTCCCAACTGATCATAATTAACGGTAATTATTCCCTCTAATCCGGCCACACCTGAGTTACTTCAAAGCAATTAACACCTTTTGTGGGGAATGTCATAATCTGTGTTTACATTAGCATGATTATTAGTGCCATGAGACGAACTCGGTGAAATGCGGCTGTGACACTGTCCACTTGAAAAATATATTATATGATTAAATTACAATTAAAAAAAATTAACTCCTTTTACCACATTATAACATAAACACAAAAATATATGTACGCGCGATTTACAAATCAAAATATAAATCGGGATCGAAAATCGAACGCATTTCAAAATGGCGCCATAACACTGTTGAGGAAAACGTTTAATTTTTTACATAAAATTAAAAGTTCAATCTAATAATTATATTTAAGCACATCGTAAATAATTGTGCATTACTGTTAATACATTGAATGAGGTCTTTGACAAGCGAAACCCGGTCCGCTTGATACATAGTGGGCCTATATTATGCATGCCTGTATATTTTGATTGAGGTAACATTTCACCCGACTTTCAAACTTCGTGAACAAATAAGAAAATACAGTAAGTCATGTGAGACTATCATATAATTTCTACACTCCAAAATAGTAATTGATTTCATCATTTAATTTTATTTATAATATGTATTTGATTTACTTGTAAATAAACAACGAAAATTTTCGAAATTTATATTTTCCTGCATTTTTCCTGCACTCCGGATTTTGTCTAATCCGGCCAAATTTTATGGAGCCGACGGTAGCCGGATTGGACAAAGTATACTGTATATGTTTCCTATCATATAAGCAACCCTTTCCCTCTTATGTATATGTATATTGTATTCCATGTGTATGATCATAACCATTATATACATTTTAACAATGTACTTTTTGTCCCACGAGGGCCCTTAACAGCTGAAATGAGTCTAAATTAATATATGGTGGGATTACGGATGTACACTCAGAACTGGCTTTAGAGAATAGTTAGAGACAGTGCAAAGGTTTGAAAAATTAAATTTTTTTATATGATAGTATTATAATTGTTGAGTTAATGTGTAACAAATTCTATGTATACAGGTCGTTACTACAATGAAGCGCATTGAAGTGGTAAAATGTTCCGTTTGAATTAATGTTTTGTACGTCAATTATTACAGAATGGCACGCCCATTTCTTTAAAACAAACAAGAAATATTCGTCGTAATATTTCAGGACACCCCACTCATTCCGACAAGCAACATGCGTTTTACTGAAATGGATATTTTTAAAGTTATGAGAGATTTAGAGAAGTTCATGCTTCTCTAAAACACGTATTGCAACAGATTTGTACATAATTATGAATTTATCATGTTTATTGGAGTTACCATAACCCATGTTTTGGTCGAACACGTGCTTACTCTGTGTCCATGTAGACCGTATTCCATGTGTATGATCATAACCATTATATACATTTAAACAATGTACTTTTTGTCCCACGAGGGCCCTTAAAAGCTGAAATGAGTCTAAATTAATATATGGTGGGATTACGGATGTACACTCAGAACTGGCTTTAGAGAATAGTTAGAGACAGTGCAAAGGTTTGAAAAATTAATTTTTTTTATCTGATAGTGTTATAATTGTTGAGTTAATGTGTAACAAATCCTATGTATACAGGTCGTTACTACAATGAAGCGCATTGAAGTGGTAAAATTTTCCGTTTGAATTAATGTTTTGTACGTCAATTATTACAGAATGGCACGCCCATTTCTTTAAAACAAACAAGAAATATTCGTCGTAATATTTCAGGACACCCCACTCATTCCGACAAGCAACATGCGTTTTACTGAAATGGATATTTTTAAAGTTATGAGAGATTTAGAGAAGTTCATGCTTCTCTAAAACACGTATTGCAACAGATTTGTACATAATTATGAATTTATCATGTTTATTGGAGTTACCATAACCCATGTTTTGGTCGAACACGTGCTTACTCTGTGTCTATGTAGACCGTGAATTTGATTGGATATTATATTTATGGAATATCTGTTCTACAGGTATTTAAATGAACCTTTTGACCGATTATTCCTTTTTAAAGAATTCCACCATGGGCGTGTACACGTCATTGTATGACAATCAACATTCTAAAGATAGCTCAAAACGTTCCATTCAAATGGAAATTTTACCATTTCAAAGCGCTTCATTGTATCTTGTCATAAATACAGACTCTGATAGATGCTGTATACCCAAATCACTGTTTTCAAAAAAAATATGATATATAATAGAATGAGAGAGATAAGGTTGAGATGACTTGCGACCCCTAGTAATTTCCCCAAAAATTAAATGTCTAAATTTTACTCAATTTTTTGTATGCACCTAATCACTGATATATGTATCTTTATAGAATACTATTTTTAACAAAAATAGAAACGTGATTTGAAAGATATAGATCTTTTACTAGGAAAGGGGTATCATGTTTATATCCAATATCCATTGCATTTTAACCCCGCCCCACTCTTTGAAGTCCTTTAAAATATGAGAGCGCAGGTAGGTGCAATTTTCTACTTTGGCTGATCACTGTATTTTATTGAAATCTACCCATGTGAAAAGAGAAAATTGTAAGTAACTGCGCTCACATGCTATTTTTTAAAAAATTGTAAAATTTAGCTGGTCTTTCCCATTATGAACAGATCGACGGAACTGGATTTTCTGACGTTAGAATGAATTCATATGCTAATCGGGGCACTGGCGATACTTTCTAACTGACCAATCAGCTAAATGAAATTCGTTACGAGTGAGTACCACAAAAATACTATATGGAAACATGCTTGTAATTTTACTGCTTTCATTTAATTCTTTTTTATGTATTTGAGTCAAAGATTAGACACGGATCTACATATAAACAATTTCCGAGATCACAGTAAAATTAGTATAAAGTTCCAAAAAAATGATAAATATACACTTACTCATAAGTTAAGGACCATCACTCGTTCTGTAAAAATTCTTTAAACATTTCATTTGCTTAGACCAATCCAATTGATTATTTCATTTTTGGTTTAAAATCTGAGTAGATCTATACTTTCCTTAGTCAATACATGTTTCAAAATCATCTGATAACTTAATGTGTTTTATGCACATAACAATTTTCCAATGAAAAGAATACAAGTCAACAAAGCAGAATTTAAAGTTTCACTTTAATTTGTTGTTGACAAAAGTTTCTAGCAATAAGCATGTTAAACTTTACTGATACTTAAAGAGTCATCAATT